ACCCCATGGGCAACCCCATGGGCAACCCCATGGGCAACCCCATGGGCGGCCCCATGGGCGGCCCCATCGGCCCCATGGGCTGTCCCGCTGCGGGATGCGACGCTTCACTCGACGTGACCGTGACCGACGGCTCCATGGGAGACGGCTTCAGCTGTCCGATGCCTCCTGGCGCGGTTCCCGCGCCCAACGGCGCAACAGTGCAGTGTTCCCAGCATGTGTTCGAAAGAAGTGCTCAACTCGAACAGACATGTTCACCATTGTTCACCTGTTTTCAAGACACAAAGAGGGCGTTTCATTCAACATGGACATGGACTTGTGACTTGTCACGAGTCCATGTCAGAACCAGAGACTTTGCCAGGACTTTGCCTCCCTTAGCTGGTCCAGGAGACATGAAGGCCTGGATTCGAAATCAAACAGACCATACAGCCATGGATTGCATGAGATCATGTAAGATGGATCAACCGATCAACCATTCAACGATCAGTATCGATCAGTGCATTTAGCTGCATTAGATTTGGCTCTATTGCGACAGCAGAAGGGGCTTGTAGCAAATGTGCAACCAGGAAGAAGTCCTGAAGTTCTGCGAAAAGTACGTCCCGTGGCTGGAGAGTTCGTTCGTTTGTTCTGGCGGCTTTAAGCAACATTTGTTGCTTGTCTTCGATCTGGTCCCATACTCGATAGTTCGAATATGTTGGATTGAGCTTCTTCAACGCCTCCAAGGAGCATCCAAGACAATACTGATTGACAGTCAGTCCATTTGTCCATTTTTTTCTAACTTGGCTGTGCTAGTTGGCCGTTTGCTTGGCTGTGCTAACCTCTAGCTACTCGGTGTCAAAGCTGCCGCCTGCCAGTGGAACGAGCTGAGGAGTTGAACGAGGACAATCAGAAAGCAGTGACCGCGTCTTTGGAGAAGCGTCTTGGCGAATAGGAGAGCCGTCTTGTTGAGGCCATCGCTCTGAGGTTGGAGGACATTCCAACATTTGCAGCAGAACATCGCAACAAGCTTGTTCCATCACTTGCGTGCCCGCAGGTGTGGGGAGGCGTGGGCGCAAGACCTGCGTGAGCTAGATCATGCGCTTTCAAAGGCCTCGATTTGGGGTAGGGCAGAAGACATTGCAACAGGGGCAAAGGATATATACAAGCAAGTTTTTCAATCTTTTGGCATTATGTACAAGCAATTCCAGCCGTTTTTTGAGGCTCCCGGCAGCGTTCTGCAGCCTTTGTGTAACTGTGTAACTGTTCGCCCTTGTCATCTTCACTCTGTAGCCTGATGAATGATGCCAATCTGGTGAGTCCGACCTAAGAGGAGACTCGAAAGCGAAAAGGAAGGGGTACGGCCTGAGGAAGAACATCTTGGACACCCATCTTCCTTTGATTTCCTTTGTGTCCTCTCTTATTCTTCTGCTTTATAAATGTATATAACTCTCTTTTGCTCTCTCTTGGACGTTCTTTCTGTCTTTCTTTCGACCTTTCACTGTTTTCCGAGTGACTCGGACGGTCCCCCGTGGACTTCAAGACCAAAGGCCTGGTTTGACTCATTCGGTTCTCATGCAGCGGTGGTAAGCACCGTGCTAAGTGCATCTATGTGCATATTTTTGCTGCTAGTGTACCTCCAACCCAATAGGGATGGCCTCCAACCCAATGGATCCTGGCATATTTTGCTGCTCTTGTGCGCCATGAACTATGCCAGTGACCTGGGCAAAAATAAGATAAATGCATGGCATGAAGGACATGATAGCCACAAAAAGTAAGAGAGGTTTATATACACATATATACAAACGGAATGGTTGTAGCTATCTCTATCCATAAGCTCAATCTAGCCACTTGTGCGCCCTGACAACCAACGCCAGGCGCGGAATCCCTCAACGCTCTTGCAAGCGAGGCTTCGAGAGATTGAAGCCTTAAGAGGTTTCAAAAACAAGGCCGGACATTGCTGGACATATTTTCGAGGAGATTTCTAGAGTTCGT